GACAGGACAGGACAGGACAGGACAGGACAGGACAGGACAGGACAGGACAGGACAGGACAGGACAGGACAGGACAGGACAGGACAGGATTCTGAGTAGTTATCCTTGTTAAATCATCACCAAGAGGTTTATCACAAGGACAAACTGGTAGACAGGATTCCTCACAACCTGCATGGTTATCCTTGTAAAAAGACCAGCTGATAGACAGGCTCCTGGAAAATTGCTATCATCGTATATGATTCTTTTACTGCGTGTGAAATCTAATTTTCTGTGAAGATAAAACATGTCAGATATTTATACTCTATCACTTCTACTTCTGGGATTCTGTAGTGCTCACAGTTGATTCTCTACATTACGTCATGTTCTTAATAATCCCAGAAAGATCAATGCCAAGAGGTTTAGCCAAGGACCTACCTGTGCTTTTGTGATTTTTGATTTATATTTTGTGTTTACAATAATTTGCCAATCATTAGGAAATATTCATCTTGTAACAATTTCAAAATGACCTCTCAAATTAATGGCCAGACAAATTATGAAAGTCAGGTTTGGCTGGAAATAGACCACAAATCAATAACATTTGGCGCCAAAATATCAAATCAGATGGTCGTTAAGGAGGCAGCCATAGTGATTTTACCAGACATAATGAGCACAGAATTAATTGACACAAATTAGTGAAATTCAAGTCCGGATCACCCAGACAGTACTTATTGTCAATGATTCTAGAAGCAGAAATGCTCTGGATAACTTTACCTGTCATATATTTTATGATTAGTGAAAAAAATGAAATCTAAACTTTATTACATCACAAATTCCCATAAAAGGGGAAAACAATTAAAAATATATATTATTGTAATATTATCCCATAAACAAAAGGACAATAAATATTTTTAAACTTCATTTTCAAGAATTTTTCATAAAATTTTATCTTGATATCATTATTGTTCCCAATACACATCTTAACTCTTAACGATCTCTTTGAGATGTAATTATTGCATTTCACAATCATGTCTGTCTGACATTATATTACCTACTGACATTTCATAATAATTCTTAATATATATCATGCAACATAAAACTTACATATCACTACCCCATTAAGCTACAAAATCCAGAGATTTTTGGAGCTCATTTGAGACATGAACAGCACATACAGCCCTGTCGTTAGAGTGGGGTCCGTGGGGGCTAGGCCCCAGCAAGTGAGAATTAAGCCCCAGCAAAACCTTCTTCTGTTCATTTACAGTGTCTTTGTACAAAATCAAAAAGATATAGATTTTGATATACGTTTTGGCACCTCAAAATTTTCAGAACTTAGTTCTCTGCGCCTTTAATTCTTCAAAATTTCTAAGTACAAAATCTGAGCACGTACATCTTTTATCTTCTGAATTCCTTAATAAAAAACCCCAAAAAAGAACCAAATGGAGGTAAATAACAGAAATTTGTGCACACCCCTAACCTACTCAAAACATCATGATCAATTCACTAGAGGTTTAGATAGTTTAAATGGTAATAAACACAATATAAGCCTGACTTCCAGTTGTAATTTAATTCTACCCAAAACTAAAGTAGACTGATGGTGTTTATGTTTTGATTTGGAACCGAATGTACTAAAATACCTTTGCTTAACTTTACTAACAATTTTTTGCACTGTTAAAGATGGGTTACCTTATTTTCATTAATGAAAATGCTAATACTTATATGAACAGAAAGTAGAAGTGTTCTAATGACTTGAAAAAATACTAGTTTGTCCATGATTGATTCATAATTAGCTAAATTAAAAGAGAATTACTAGCAGAATTTCAATGAGTGACCGATCAAGAAAGGTCATAAAACTCTTATTTATATGCAATAAAAACATATTGATATGATTAAGAATACATGATAATTCATAAGAAACACCACATCAAATTGTTTGCTTAATTTGACATTAAAAAATAAGGAAATCCATCTTTAAAATTGTGTTTGATGCATTAATTACAGGGTGATATGCCTGGCTAAATGTAAGAGAAAAAACATGTTACAAAAGACAACCTATTAAAACAGGAATGTGGAGTTTTTCTGCATTCAATATTGTAAAGCCATTTACGTTTTTTATTTTCCTTTTCTGCACTGAATCTTTCATTAATTATCGTTTATTTCAACTTACAGACAAATTTCACGTGATATCAACATAATATGGCTTAGTACAAATACATCAAATATCTTATAGATCCTGTCGTTAATAAGTAACTGTGAGTTTTTTTTATTGGGATGAGGGTTAAATGTTTTCAAGTCAGTTTCTTTGGTTGCAGTAGGGTTAATTAGAAAGGGAACATTGACCTCCCCTAAAAAAATGGTTTTTCCTCCAAATTCACCAAATCAATTCTATTTACCAAAATTTTAATGGGGAAGAAACATCAGATGCTTCATGCTGCACCTAATGTTCTTCCACAGAGCTGCCTCTGAGAATCCTCTGTATTTCTTATGCCTGTGCCTGTGCTTCCAAGAGTCTGCCTGGTGTCGGATGTGTACAGCTCTAGTCAGATATGACTGGTAAATACAGTCAAATCAACAGCCCTAGAGTTATGGTCAGATATGACTGGTAAATACAGCCAAATCAACAGTTAGAGCTCTAGTCAGATATGACTGGTAAATACAGCCAAATCAACAGTCAGAGCTCTAGTCAGATATGACTGGTAAATACAGTCAAATCAACAGCCTAGAGCTCTAGTCAGATATGACTGGTAAATACAGTCAAATCAACAGCCTAGAGTTCTAGTCAGGTATGACTGGTAAATACAGTCAAATCTACAGCCTAGAGTTCTAATCAGACATGACTGGTAAATACAGTCAAATCAACAGCCTAGAGTTCTAGTCAGATATGACTGGTAAATACAGTCAAATCAACAGCCTAGAGTTCTAATCAGACATGACTGGTAAATTCAGTCAAATCAACAGTCTAGAGTTCTAGTCAGATATGACTGGTAAATACAACGAAATCAACAGCCTAGAGTTCGACTAGTCAGATATGACTGATAAATACAGTCAAATCAACAGTTAGAGCTCTAGTCAGATATGACTGATAAATACAGTCAAATCAACAGCCTAAAGTTCTAGTCAGACATGACTGGTGAATACATCGAAATCAACAGCTTTAGGCAAACACATATCCTGTCTCTAATAAGTGTACATACTTATCAAACTATGTAACCAATATCTTTTCATTATACAATGTTTAAGTTGGCAAAGTTATAGTTTTTAGTTATCATAGTATTCACCATCTTCACAATGTCAAGCAATTACAAACTTCATCTAATAACATGACTGTAATAGCAACCTTTCTTGTATCGAGAAATGCAGCGATTTGATTGGATCCTAATATACACTTAAACCAAGTCTCTGCATTTACAAACTTTGGTGGCTTTTAAGTCAAAGTACAAGACCAAGGTTATAATAGCTTGACATTGAGAAGATTGTAGCAAACTTCTGTGATACAAGAAAAGTGGTAATTGAAGTCAAGGTATAAGATGAAGTTCTTAATATCTTGACATTGTGAAGATGGTAGCAAACTTTTGTGATACAAGACAACTGTCTATTGAACACAGGGTACCGGTATAAGACGGAATTTATAATAGCTTGACATTGAGAAGATGGTAGCTAACTTCTGTGATACAAGAAAAGTGTCAATTGTAGTCAAGGTATAAGATGAAGTTCTTGACAGCTTGACATTGTGTAGATGGGTTTTAAGTAATCATACCAGTTACATTTTAACAGTTATTAACTGGCAGTAAACTGATCTTATATATTTTTTTATATTGAATAATGCAGGTGAATGACTTGTTAATACTCCGTTAATATAACTGACTTGTCAGCAATTATAAACAGACAAACAACATGAAATTTGAGATTTATATCTTTATTTTAAAGTGCTAGAAACAAGACTATTTAATAACATTATATAAAAACATGTTCAGGTTCTGTTTTAATGTTTCTATATCACTCTATATCACATATAATTGATGTAATGAACACTATTTTAACAGTGGTATTTCTATATCACTCTACAATTGATGTATTGAACACTATTTGAAGAGTGGTATTTCTATATCACTCTATAATTGATGTATTGAACACTATTTTAACAGTGGTATTTCTATATCTCTCTATACTTGATGTATTGAGCACTATTTTAACAGTGGTATTTCTTTATCACTCTATAATTGATATATTGAGCACTATTTTAACAGTGGTATTTCTATATCTCTCTACAATTGATGTATTTAACACTATTTTAACAGTGGTATTTCTATCTATCTACAATTGATGTATTGAGCACTATTTTAAGTGATATTTCTCTATTGCTCTATAATTGATGTAATGAACACTATTTCAACAGTGGTATTTCTATATCACTCTACAATTGATATACTGAGCACTATTTTAACAGTGGTATTTCTATATCACTCTACAATTGATGTATTGAGTACTATTTTAACAGTGGTATTTCTATATCACTCTATAATTGATATATTGAGCACTATTTTAACAGTGGTATTTCTATATCACTCTACAATTGATATATTGAGCACTATTTTAACAGTGGTATTTCTACATCACTCTATAATTGATGTAATGAACACTATTTTAACAGTGGTATTTCTACATCT